TTTGGAGCTTCTTCTCTGAAAACAGCTGCCTGCTGAAAAAAAGACGACACTATGAGAGCAGTGAGAGTGAAAAAAAATAAAATAAAAGTAAAGCTGCAGGCTGGACAGCTAAACAATGATCTGTAATTCGCTATAAAGCTGAGGGGAGCTGCAGATTCTGGCGATAATTATGTGTAGGTTCATCCCTACAAGCAACACCTTTAACATTGTCACGTTAATTTCACATAGCGATGGCGCAATGGATAAAACTATGCCTTTGGTGTGAGAGACCTGGGTTCAATCCCCCACTGTGACCCATCCACCACTGTGTCCCCCTAGTTGCTCCAGAGGCGTGCGACCTCTGACATGTATAGCAATTGTAAGTCGCTTTGGATAAAAGCATCAGCTAAATGAATAAATTTAATGTAAATTGTCAAAGTCACAAAGCAAGACCACATAAGAATGTACCTCCTGAAAGTGTCAAAGACAACAGAGTCATCACAGTTAATGGCATCTGGGTGGTTGGGTGGCAGACAAACATCGCCCAGCTGCATCTCATAGCAAGGGATCCCATGGTGCACCACAGTAAGGCTCGGATAAAAGGAAGACCATCCTGAAAATCACAGATGGTAAATTACATTGATCTTAAAGCTGTTTATTTAAACAAACAAACAAAAACTCAAGTAGTTTCTATTTGGCAAACAACATTTAGTCAGCGGAAGCTTCTGCTGGTAAAGACTAAATACACACATTGCTATAAAAAGCTGTTTTTGACATACTTTTGCCTTCATTTCTTGCCAACAAAGCTGACATTTATCTTGTTTTTGGTGTTAAGAGACCATAACCTGCAGCCAATATTTCCCGATTATTTTGAACAGAGATAATCTTAAGAATTGTTTTTACCTTTATTTTTGACAAAAAATGGGTGATCCAATCGGCATTCAGCTGTTAAAGGACCATCATCAGGTGAGCCAGGGTCAAAGGTCAGTTTTAGAACTGCCTGGCCATAAGATACCGTCTCTTCATGGCTCACCAACTTCAGCCCCTCTGAACCGTATCTCTGTAAATGAAGTAAAAGACCAGTAAGATGAGTCTTTACTCACCAGCAAGATGAGTTAGTTGAACTCATAACCAAAGAAGAAATCAACTTGGTGCCTGATTGCCTGAAAAGTTGGTTTCCAATGTACTAAATGAGACCACCACTGCAAATGTTTCAAGACTCATTCATGCACTGAGTTCCTCACTTACCATTATAAGACTTTGAAATGTGTACTGACAGAACACTGAACCTGAATCAAGGCCTCACTCACCTAGTCAGCAATGCAGAAACACTAAACATAAGGTATATAGCAGATTATTATAAAATATTTCAAGACATTCTGAACTGACTATTTGTAGCCTACCTTAAGAGAGGAGGAGGATGGCATCATGGTTTCATCATCTGAGTCGTCATCAGAATCCCTGAGTTCATCAGCTTCCTGCCACTCCACATTAGGACCTCGATGGAAGCGCAGGCGAGTTCCTGAATATCAACACAGCAATGTGACATGATGAATAAGCAGATATGAGTTGACAGTGAAAAGAGAAAGCTGGAAATGGAAAATGGATGCAATACTGCTGTTTGGACACCTGAGGTCAGAATTTCTTTACAAATGTTTGTAAATCATGCTTATCCTGGTTGGGATCATTTGTAAAGTGAGGATCCTTTTACAAAGGTGTAAACAAATTATTAGTGTCAGCATCTCTACAGCTCCTCTCCAAAACGGTCTTCATTGCATGTCTGGTTGCCATCAGCTCACTTTGAGGCCAGAGCAGTTAAGCAGCCAATCAGAACTGTTTTGGCCATATAAATGACAGGTCTATTCACAAACAGATTGGAAGAGTTTGACTTAAGGATAAAAATAAAAATTGTGTGTTTCTCAGCTGAAAAGTGTTTTACATTTGTGATTATTAACTTACATTTTTACTATTTTTTACTGGTGTAAACATTAACAGATTTAAGAAAACATTAATGAATGGCTATTGTTTTCTAATGGGGAAAACATGTTTACCCTAGACTGGATTTTGCCTTTAAGCTACAAAGCACAATTCTCCCAGTTTTTCTTTTCAAGAAATTCTTAGAAAAGCCTCAGGGTTAAGCTGTGAGTGGGGTGAGGTGTATGTCCGCATACAGTATACACATGAGTGCTTATGTATGCACCTTTAAGGAAGCAATGCCAGGCTGTGGAGGGCCAGGAGTGAGACCAGGCCATGTCTTCGTCATCAGAAAATGATGAGGACATTGAGAAAACTCCAGACTCAGATTCACTGCTTGCCTGTTGGAAATCATGTTAAAAAATCTTACAATGCCATCAGTAAAATAAAATAAAAAAATCAGTATGCATGTCATACAGAATTTACTAGGAAAGAATGACTGGGTATACAGGTATGGATGATTCTTAGGTTTTCAGAGGTTGAGGTTGGAAAAGAAAGGTTACCCTGACACGCCTGCGCTCCCTGATGTGGCCTCTGGACGGGTTGGGTGCGCTACTGGCTAGTGGAGGACGAGCATAGGAATGTAAACTATTACTGTTGCCAAAGATGTGGACTGGTGATGATCTGGAAAAGTAAGTATTTTTAAAGTGATAATTATAATCTATAGACATCTGAATGTAATTCTGTTGTTCAGCATCAGCAGGGGTATTTATTCATTAACACAAGATTAGTCAGGTTTACTGTGAATGACTTTGCGATTTCCTGATTATAATGATGAGAACACAATAAGCCATTCACTCCAATGATTGCAACAAAAAAAAAAAAATCAACATTTCAGAAGAGAAATCACAGTACATTTTCTAACTAGCTAACTTGCCAATACAGCATTGTGGAATACACCCCAGCGGTACTGGTGTATATGTTAAAACATGTGTTGTCAAAGTCTCCTTGAGTTTATGTATGCACTCATCAGCCTTATATGGCAGTTTGTATTGGTACAGACCTCTTGTGTGGGGCATTCTTCAGCAGGGGGCTCTGAGGACTGGTGGCAATGTTGGCCAGCTCAGCAAGCCAGTTGGTGCTGGGGGAGCAGCTGAGCTCCTGGTGAGACACTCCTGCTACAACCTGAAATAACCCTGGAGACCTCTGGTCCTCCTCCACCTCCTGCAGCTCTGGCATGTCATCTGGGGAGAGGTCAGCAGTAATTTTCATAGTTAATATGTGTAAAAGCTCAGTTTGCTTAAATGTAGCATGCGATTTTCTTGCTGGTTTAGGATTTTACCATAATCCATGTGGCACCCAGGTGAAGAAGGCAGGTCCTCATTACACTTGAGTGGATCAAAGGACTCGTCCATTGTCACAATGTCCTGTTGTTTCTTCTTTTCTTTAAAAAAAAAAAAACAGGCAAATTATAGCTTTTCACTATGATATGAGGTTTTAATCTAATGTATACAATAAAATTGACTCTTTATTGCAAACATCAATGGTGGTGCTTGGATATTTCATAGTAATATGGTTTCATAGGGAAATAATCAGAGGATCCACGGAATAAAAAAGCTCAACATAATACATGTAATCTGTCAAAGACATCAACATAATGGAAAATGAAGCCAGCCTTTAACGATTCCTTTGTCTCTGAATCGACACAGTACACCTCTCTGACTAGTCATGTGACCCGCTGCGTGGAGGCCTTTGTTTATAAACTTAAAAGGGCATTTGGCGCATGCGTACCCGAGCTCATTCATTCATGACTGCGTAGCAAAAGTAGCAATAATTCGTTTTGAAGAGTGGCATATAGAGTATCGAAAACGCCAAGTTGAAAAAATGTGATATCAATGAATGAGTTAAATATTTTAAGCAGATTTGAAAATGATGAGGTCTTTGGCGAAGTGCAAAGAAGTCGAAAACATTGTTAAAAATATAAAAGAAGCCGTGAACATCAAATTGATCGGTTTACAAGGAAGAACTACCGTCAGTTGAGTTCTGACAACCGATCGACGGTCGCGGCACGTTCTGGCAAACAGCTGCTTCGACTTTGTAAACGCGGATATACTAGCACTATATTAACGTTTCACTAGTATTATTGTGTCCAAAAAGACCGTTTAGAGGCCAGGCCTAATGTTTCTCTACTACCCAAAAGCAGCAGCAGTGTCCTCAGTTCAAACCCAGGGGCTGTCGGGTCTAACACGGTAAACAAAAGAATGTCAACAAGTTGAGGCATGACGCAACCCCTCAGCCCCGTTTAAAATGAATGACACGAACACCTCTCGAAGCATGTTAACGACATTTTCACACAAATCAAAGCAAATCTGATAAAATGAAGGACTTCTTTGATACGAAAACGGCTGTCGGGTGGGCTTGTTATCACCAAAACAACAAGCGTCACGGCGAAAAAAAAAACATTGTCGAGCACAACTTGTCCTTCGACATCAAAAAACGCGTGACAACCCCGCTAAAACACCATGTTAGAACTGCAAAGACACGGATCACACAAAACGAAGGTTAAAAATGAGTTTGAACCTTTTTTTTTCTTCGAAAAAAGTAGTCAACTTCCCACTTACCAAACCTGTCGCCATCAAGAAACTCTCTGGCATTCACTCGAGGGTGGGAATCAATGTTTCCTATGAAAGCCTCCTATTGGTGGATAAGAACGTCAAAAACAAGAATCCGGACATTCTATTGGTTGATACTGTTGAGAAAAATAAAGAAGGTGGCGTCTAGTTTGTTGATCATGGTATCATTGGATGGAAGTACATGCCTGTTACTACCCAGTAACAGCTGATTGGCAATAACAGGAACAATACATGGTTATTTTTCTGCAAAGTTGCAACTACAGCAAAAAGTACTTATTCACATGTCTTTCTAAATTATGTTTCCTTTCCTTTGTAATTAAATCACTGGTTTAACTTTTTACTACAACAACAACATACAGCAAATGAAAATGAATGAAGAATGAATGAATGAATGGTGAATGAGTGACTGGATGGTGAATGGAAACCTATGAAATGTCCTATCCCTTTATATTGCAAAAATAATTACATGACACGCAAATTTAAAAATGTTCTTTATTAACATGAAAAGTGAAACATACAGTACTTTCAGCCAGTATTATGGGATTGCCTTCAAAAATTACCAGTACTACCTGCACAAAGGGGGCAAATAAATTCAGAATGTTTAAATGTTAAACCAGCTTTAAACAGGTTAAGCTGCAGTAAACCACAGACAAAATACAGAAAACTTCAATTATTAATTTTAAAAAGAGAGAGAAGAAGAGAGAGAGAAAATCCACTTTAGATTTCTGTCCAGAGGGAACATCAGAATACGTGTTTCCAAACAGTATACGTTTTTGGCAGAGGTAGACAGCAATAATGGATGTCATAATATGTTTCACTGACACAAAAACAGTATGACTTAAATTTTACATTAAAACACAGAAAAATCAAATGTCTCATGAAATTGCCTATAATGACTACAGTCTAGGGGCAACTGATTAAATTAAAGGTGGGCTTATATAATAACAGTAAATACTCAGTTTCAAATTGTACAGCAATGTGTTGTATATTCTTACAAAACTATCAGCTATCTCTCTTAAGTTTTTTTTTTTTTGCAAAAGCATAGTATTGGGCTAACAGCCACAAACATTTACCAACGATGATATACAGTTTTATGAACATGTATTCAAGGAATTATATATAATGATAAACAGAAAAGTATTTTGTAAAAATGTTAAAGTACTGCCTAGTCTACATTCTGTTGTGAAAGATGTTATTCAAACACAGAATTGTCAACTTCCTTTACAAATTGTCTCGTACTGGAGCACTCCAACTACCAGTGTACCTCTTGCTGCGAGTGTCAGTGCTCTTGCCAGAAATTACAAGAGATTTTGACATATTTGCTCACAAATATCCAGTATGAAATTAGCTTTGGCATCTGATTTTAACAAACAATGTTTAGAAATGTACAAATGATATCATATTGTAGGTGTAACAATAACACTGTGGAGAAAAGGTAAGAGTTAACAAAAGTGTACAATATACAAACCAATAATGCGTCTGACACTGGCAAGAAAATGAACGCTTACATTTTTAAGGTTAGAGTCGTGAAAATCTCATTTAAACAAGCTTCAAGCAACGCGGCTTTGGCTCACTTTATTTTGATCATAACACTCTGTGGCAAACGCTGTTTTAACCATATGGGACCATATGGGAATCTGATGTTGTCCGTTTTATTTATCTGACACACAAATGTTGTTATTCACATTTCTTGTAAGAAAAACTGTTTAAGTGATTATGAAGAAAAGCATCCATACAAGCATTTTCTTTTTTCATCCACAGATTCATGGTCCATTGGTGCCGTCTCGTACACTTTGTTGCTCAATCTCAGTGCTACTTCCAAAGAGGGTCACCAGCTGCTCCTCATAGTTAGCAATATTTCTCTTCATGATGTCCATGCACGGGCCCAGCAATCTCTCGAAGGCTTGAACGTCCATGACTAAAGAGAGAAAAAAGAACATCTGAAGAGTCAGAAGTAGTTTAAGGAAAGTTATGTAAAGAAGTAAGTGGTGCACTGAAAAATGTAAAAACTGGAAGCAATATGAATGATCATAAAACTGCACAAAATGTACCCAAGCATTTGACGGTCCCCACAGCATAGGCTGATGCAGCTCTGGGCTTGTTTGTGACAAGCGCCAACTCTCCAAAATACTGGCCCCTAGAGCATGTGGCGATATCCACCTCTTCTTCCCCCTGGTCTTTTTTCGTCTGGCAAGAAAGAAATGCACACTATGAGACACCTGAAAACATCAAAAGGGATTTTTTTTACACTTAAAAATGTATTGTCAGCTGGGCAAACATACCCTGCTTCTTGTCATGGTGATTCTAACTTGGCCAGACTCAACAATGTAGAAGCAATCTGCTAAATCACCCTGTAATACAAAGCATTAAATTAAAAAAATTAAAAAGCAACTCAGTGTTTAGAAATGCTCAACTGCAGCACAAAATAAAAAGACCAATCCATTAACAGACTATACAAATAGATACATCACCTGAGCAATAATCTGCTGTGAATCATTGTACACTGTGGTGGATAGTACGTCTACTACCTTCATTCTCTCTGAGAGCTGTAGATGAAAGGATATGTGAGACACTGGCATTGCTCTAAATGCATACTGCACTTTCTTAGTGCTGGAGGACAAAGCTAATCTTAACCTCTAATGACGTAAGCAGTGGTAACGTTTCAATAAATGCCTCATACAGCCTCCTCTTCTTGGCATTGTTCTTCACTAAGATCCTCCTGAATGTCAGACGATCCTAAAACACAGAATTAAAAAAAAAAAGAAAAAACATTCAGGCCATGTTTAAAGACATAGTGTACTCCTATTTCCCTGTTTTGTTACAGTATATATGTATACATATATATTTATCATCATGTATAAACCTTTTATGTGTATTTCTTATATCAAAAACAATCTCTTCTGTCTTCTTGTGAAATGGTACCATATTCTCAATGACTCATCTTGAACTTGGAGTAAGAAGAAGAAGAAGAAGAAGAAGAATCCCAGATGCTGAGAAAGTCTGGCATCACCATTTTTAATATTGTGCCTGTTTAAAAGTCAGGGTGTAGGGTGTAGTAATACTCATTTTTACATTTTCCATACAGTTCCAGACTGTTCTGGCATCCTTTCATCAAACAATAATTTAGATGAACGACCATTTTGCAGCAGGGGGCGCTGTAAACAGATTTTAAGTAAGCGAGCATCTGCAAACCATAACACCATTTCAAGCAGCAGCACCCACCTACTCAAGTCATCTGGCTGCTTTAAATAATAAACCTTCAATAATATCTGTTGTATGACATTTAAGCAGGATGATGTACAGTTTAGATTCAAATAAGAGCCAGCAACATGTTAGATGACATGCAGTGGTAGATGGTTACAAATTTGTTGGTAACATGGCACCCTCTAGCTACCAAACATAAAGCACAGCTCTAACTGTTATTTTTTTTAATTTACCTTTAATATCCTACCAGGCTGCCACAAAGGTAATTGTATACAACTTTAACTCTAGTTCTAAATTAGACTCTAGTTAAAGCTACTACTTTAGACTACTGTTTGCTCAGAGGCGCTTCGGCAGCGCTGTCCCTCCTGGACCTCAGGGGATTGTTCGTTGAATAGGGCAAGCTGCTTGTTTACAGACTCCAACACATACCGCAAGTACCCAGTTCAACAGAGGATACAGCTGCAACCTGCCCAGTCTGCACACAGATGACATAACAAAGCTGTTACCCACAGTTTAAAGACACGACCCTCACTGAGTCATTAATAAACAAGCTGCTTCACAGAAAGAATAGCAACTGAATATTCACAACAGCTGTTCTGACCACAATGTATAAAATAGTTGGATCTTGCTTAACCAAAAGACCATTCAACTGAAATTTTACTTTAAAAAAAGCATAGACATTCAGGGAATACAATTGTTTTCACCTTGACTTGTGTTTTCTCCATGATGGAGTTGGCAGCCCCAGTTTTCACATTTTAATAATTTATAACATCTTGAGAACTCTTAAGTTAAGAGATGCATACTTGCTAAAATAGTTTAGTGTATACTATACTATACAAGTTTAGCCAAGTTTTTATTATAGGTTTTAACATTCTTAGATATTTTCAAATTCAGTTTGAAAATATAGCTTTAATATATGCATGAATGGACATGTAAATTCATATTCAGGGCATTATTACTGCTCCTTCAGTTTTTGTTGCATTCAGTGGGTTTTATACAATATGTCATCTTAATCAGACAACATGCTCTCACCTATGGTACCAGGTACCAACACTGCCACAGACAACCTCGATATTTACTGTAAATCATGGTAACTGACAGCACAGCGTGTTATAAAAACCTAAGCGTGGCGCCAACTGTGCTCTTGCATGAGGATTTAATGGTTTACTCACTAGGCACCAAAGGGCTCCTGGCGAGGTGGCGATTATTGTGGCGGCCCTGGGGGTGTTGTACATCAACGCCAGTTCTCCAAAGCTGCCTCGGTTGTCATAGCAGCCTACCAGCTTCTCTGTGCCCTCACCCTTCACGAAAATGTTAAATGTCCCACTGAATGAAAATGTAAAGGGAAAATAGATCAGAGAAAATTGAAACACATGGTGTCTCCTGAACAGATTACAGATTATTAGAGTATTTTACAAATAATACAAACGTTACAATGATCTGATTTAATATGATGTATAGTGAGTAATTGAGTGTTTAAAAAGATCACCTTTCAATAACATAGAAGTTGTCCCCATCATCGTCTTGATCAATGATGTGCTCCCCTTCAGTGCAGAATTTCTCAAACATGGCATCCAGCACCTGAGACATCTCTTCCTGTCATGGTGTGAAATATTAGTCAAATATTTGAATTTCACATGCTGAAACAATAACGCAGAATCCATTGCTGTTTCAGCTACTTGAGAATAACCATCTTTAAAAATCATGCATAGTGCACTGGGCTGTGGCAAAAAAAAGCTGCTGGCCTCAGGCCATGTTCTCCTTTGAGTAATTTAAGAGATGGCAGAACACAATCCAGAGGAGTACAGAGGGCTTATGGAATAATCCACTCACCGGATCCAAATTCTTGAACAGAAGAATGCCCCTACATGCTTCCTGTAGTCTCTGTCTTTGCTCATCAGTTTTTGGGTGGGTGACCTGAAAATTAAAGCACAGTCTTGTGATAAGACCCTTACGATAGCCTAGACATTCAAGCTCATACAGATGATACTGTATATCATGTTGACTGTTTAATTCAGATTCAGAGCTACAAATCACACTGTTTGGAAAAGTCAGCCTCAATATTAAGATATGATCTTTGTGGTATGAAACATAGTTTACCCATGGCTCTTTACCCTCCTCATCTTCATCAGGATTGAACGCTTCAGCACACACTGCATGACAGAGAGCAACAAATGAATGGATATTCACTATCTGAAAGCAAATTCAGATAGTTCACACATTTCATTCACATTTCTGCCCAACCATTTGTGAAAGACAGAACCTTTGGAAACAACAACATTTGAACTTAAACACTAAAGAATAAAGCTTTATATTCACGGGGCCCAGCAGCACAACTTTCATCCCTGTCTAACAAAAGCCAGATCTCAGGGATGATTCAGCAGCATTTCATGCAATAAATCTTTCAATAAACACAACTCTTCTCGTCTTCAGTGTGGGGCTTTGGGGGAATGCATGATGGCGGTGGCACTCATACCACATTTCCTTCCTGTATTTGACAAGGTAAGATACAGCAATCATAACAAACTTTTACTTGAATGAACCTATCTTCTTACAGGAAACAAAATGCAAAATGGTTTATATTCAATTCACAAATGTGGGAAAATGTACTTTTATTCTGCAAAAACATAATGCTTAAACCCCTGGAACCTTGTTGAAACTATATTTATGCTTATGTATCAATACCTCATAAAATCTATTTTTTGAGTACACTTTCTTTGGTTTAATGTTTAGTACACTGCCAATGTAGTGTCATATGTAGAGGATATTCATTTCCCATCTAATGTGATAAAAGGTAAGAAATCAATCATCAAGAGTTACTGAATACTTTCTCTTCCTCCTACTTTCCATTCAGACTGCCAAACATGCAGATATCAGTCCTAACACAGCAAAGTTATACTTTTGAAGCTACAAACTTACTATTTTCATGAACAATAGGTGATTATTAATAGTAGTTCTTGTCCTGATCTCCCCACCCACGTCACTTACTGACATTATTAACCAGGCTTGAGACAAGGCGGTTTCACAAACTCTAATAAATCAGTACTATAATAATAAGCTGAAGAGAGAGAGAAAAGACAGATGGAAAAATGCTTAAATATCACATGTACTGGAGCAAATCTAACATAACCCCATGTACAAAGTATGTCTCCAGCACTGACAATATCCAGAGTTTTCCCCTCAATAGAACAGCAAGTAACAACTCACCTGACGCTCTTCTGACGAATCTGTTTATTACCGGGGCTGCAAAAGCATAAAATATATATATATATATATAAACATGTTGAATTTCATCATTAAGTACATGTCTTATACAGTAACTGAATTACTACTGGAAAGGGTTAGGTTAATGCACTGCACTTCTACAGCTACAGTAGTGCATGTGCAATGGAGGATACCCAGCCCTGTGCTCATTAAGGATCCATATTTGTCTGGGTAAAACCTGAATAAGGACAGCTGCTTTGAAGTGCATTTGCCTCTTTGGATCAAATTTAAATGAGAAATAAATTCAAATGTAAAACACAAGAAATAGTGCCAATATCCAACACAATAGCTCGGTATGAAATATACATTAGATAGGAGGGCTCATCCTTTAATAGCCTGCCAGCCAGTGTTGTCTGATGAAGCTCATTGGAATATCATTCAGGCAAGGCACCAGAGGTGTGATGGGGAACAGTAATGACCCAATAATACTACAATAGTTAGTGACTGAATACAGTGTACTTGTCCTTATGTAATCATTGCAGCCAGTCTTGCAGACCCCAGCACTCATTGGGATGCTGTGTCAGAGCTCTGGGTTGCTATGCTACTTCCTGCATCTTATGGCAAAACTGCACCAGCCATCATGTTAACCACAGTTTAGGAGGCACAAATTAATATAGGGCGGTACAATTGATATTTTGCATTGCTTGCATCCTAGCAGAGACTCAGTTTACCATTATCTGCTTTGGCATATTTTGATAGATAATTAGGGCAGGCTCACCAGGCCTGCACCTGAAACTGAAAACATTCAAATGACCTAGTAGGTGCAGGGTCGTTCTGGAAAAAACACACAGTCCCCCCCCCCCCCACCCTGTAACTGCTGTGCCTTAACGCTGTCCTCGTCACAACCTCGTCTGCATAGATGAAGACCAAGGCACGCTCATTAACCATCATTCAGCCTCTGTGACCATATATGGCAAATGACAGAGCCGTGGTAGATGCAAGGTGGCGAGCGCTGGAGCATCACTGCGCTCAATGTGTCTCTTATTCTCTCCCCACTTAACAGAAGCCGTGCACGCAGCGATACATGCTCATAATTCAAAATAAATGATGGCCACACACTTTCACATAGCTTTCTGACAAAGAGTAAATATATTTGCCTACCTATGAATTCCTCGTCATCGTCGTCCTCCTCCTCCTCTCCGTTTTCCGAATCGATCTGCATGGCTTCGTCAATGAAACTGACTGCTTTTCCAGGTCTTGGGGCCGAATTTTGGTCATTGCCAAATGAGGCCTCTTTGGTCTCCCTTTCCTTCAGCTGGGTGAAGTACTGTAATGCAAACTCGAGCAAATCCCTGGGCTGATTTCTCAACACTTCCACGGTAAAGCTCTGTAACAGCTCCGTCAGACCTTCAGGAATTTCTATACTCATTCCTGTTATCAGTCTATGAATGTGGTCAAAACCGGTTTGCTGCGAATTTGAGAAAGCCTAATCAAAAGCACACCGTTGAGATTTTTTTTAAAAAGAAGCCAAAATTAGGATACGGGTGTAGTCAGGCCACCCAGTCAGCAAGCTATCCACAGCGGATCCTCTCTTTTTCTTGAATGAAAATGGCTCTGGATTTTTGGTCCAAGCATCTTCTGCTGCTTCTGGCTACAGGAAACCCACGCATGTGACCCAGGAATCCATGGCAACCACCTATCCGGGGATTGCGTATGAGCAGCACCGGCACAGAAACTGCAGTCGTAAAATACAAATTATGGAAAAGAATAACCCTCTACTGTATCAGTCAGAGATCGATTGTCACTGAAAAAGAAGAGATGAGAAATCTGATGTCTATATTATTTCTGTGGTCAAGGAGTAAGTAGACTATAAAATGTATTTCTTGTGGCCACACTAGTTTTTTAATCTGTGGTTATTTGCACAGATGTAGGCTACAGTAAATGCGTCTAATAAATACAGAAAGATAATACCCCAGCTAAAGATGAAAAGTCCCATCATGGATGAATGAATAGGAAATTACATTTACAATGGGATGGAACAGGTAAAAACAGAACAGAACACAACGTTCATACTTTAACTTCAGCTTAATTCCAATAATTTATTACATCTGTAAACTAAATAATGGATGTCAGTGAACGGCTCATTAGAGATAGACTATCCCCTTAACAGCAGCAGTGGTTTTAGACCCCATTTCTTGTTCCAGAGGGAGACAACAAATTAATAAATCTGATGCATATTTTAATGTCATGGGCCCTTTCAGAACATTGTGACTCCCAGGCTATTACTATATGCTGCCAGAACACTTAAATACTGAAGGAAACATTCAGGATCTAAAGAAAAAAACTGCTGTGACAAAAATATTCCTTGTATGAAACTAAAACATCATAGTCAACACACTTCATATTGTCATCTATGGTGAGCCCTTTAAATGAAAAAGTTGTGACAGGTGATGCAGTCATTTAAGTTTTAAAAGTTCTGATCAGTGAATATAAGTTATGGATAAAACAGCATTTTTCTTTTTTAGAAACTTGCACTTCCTTTACACTTTCTCACAACAGAAGAAAACCTCACTTCTGGGATTCACGTGTGCATTAAACCTGTAAAACTGGTAACTCATTCCATCTGTGCTCTCAACTTTAACTCTGCAGTTCTCAAGTTACTCAACTTAATTTTATACACAACACAGCCAAACAGAGACATTAAACAAAGGAAAAGAAGAGCACAAGGGAAGACAAAATAAAAATCACATGTTCATGACAAACATTTATCTTCAGAAGAAATACTGGAACAGATTAGGTGAGCCTTAAAAAAACCTGAGAGTGCCAACTGTGCAACAACCCTCCTTTGTGTGAGCCACATTATCATGTTGCACTGGAATGTGATGGCAGAGAGCGGAGGTTAAAGAGGGATGAAGAAATAATTGTTGTGGGAGAAATAAATAAAAAAATCAACCAAAAAGAGCAGAGCTAGTATCTGCACTGGTTGCCCGCCCTCTGTAGCTCCACTATGAGACCCCTCCCCCTGCTGTGGCCCATATCTGTCACCCTTTGTTAAGAAGGCAACACTTTCTCACTCAGGCGAACACTGGCGCACGTCCATAGAGTGACCTGTAATGCAATACTGCAATGCTGCTAAGCTGTTAGCGCTCAGACTTACCATTCATGACCACAGGCTGAGAGCTGTCAACCAAAGGGATCGTTTTTGGATATGTACAACACAACAAACCTTATCCACTGTAATAAGACAGCTGTTAGTAGAGAACAAGCACTGTGCATCAGCCCTGATCTCTGAACCGTATATCCTGAAGATTGTTACTGCCTATAGACAGACCAACAGAGCTTGCAGCTGCAGAATTATTACACTTCAAAATGCACTTTCTGAACTGTCCATAGGTTGCAATAACCTGTTGACATTTGGGAAATGGCTTAGTATTTACACAGTGGAACCGGAGGCAGTCAATCTACTGTATGACAGATAAGAGTGTACACTCTTGTTTATTAGGCAGCTAAAACTAATTCACTCTAATTCAACAATCCTGCAAGAAATCCTACCTTCAGGAAGGTTATGATGTTTTTGTTTATTCATATTTTGCCCCCAGTCTATGAGGCAGACAAAATTGTAAAACCACCCGCAGTATAACACAATATATTTTAACAGTGCCGCTACTACTGCTTCCAAAGTGATACTAAAATTGAATAAACACCTCTCTAAACCACTTTTAACAAAAAGTGAACGTTATGTTCCTCATGAATTTACAGTACCTTGCTGCCATCTGCAGATAAAGACAGATAAAGCAGTGTTGAGCAAACCACAACAGTAGATTTCAAATTATATTTTACTCTACGTAAATGGAGCTCACATATTGCCACCAATTTTGGTAGCAGTATGACTCAGTTAACTTCTGTGATTCAGCTTTGGGTAAATAAACACAGAACAGGTGTGGGAATTCATTCATCTCAAAAATAAAAGACGTAAAAAAATAAAAGCATAGGTTTTAGCGTTGCAGCCGATGTGAAAAGCAGAAAGTAGATTTGTTTTAGTAACAATTGTGTAATTACATTTTAATTCTATACTTTATCATGTCTGCAAGGTCATGTATTTAAAAGTCAAATATCATAGACTAGAGCAAATGTTGTACTGTTGATATACCCTCAGTTGCCAGGTCCACTGAGGTGAACTAATGCAATCCAATACAACACTCCAAATTGCATTGACAAAAGTTATAGAAAATTCTAACTTTCATGAAGGGAGTATTTATTACAGTTTCATTAGAATGCATTAGTTTCAGCCTTGTGTACCTAATAACCTGGTAACTGAGTGTAGTTGCAGGCTGTCCTGCCTTAACACTTGACCGTGGTCTCCTTTCTTATAAATACACCCTATACAGGAAAATTAGAATATTACTTAAGACCAACACAAAAAATGGATTTTAAGAAATGTTGGCCAATTATCGCATCTTCCTTTTCACAATACCCCATAGATTTTCTATAGAGTTAAGGTCAGGTGAGTTTGCTGGCCAATTAAGAACAGGGATACCATGGTCCTTTAACCAGGTACTGGTAGCTTTGGCACTGTGTGCAGGTGCCAATTCCTGTTGGAAAATGAAATCTGCATCTCCATAAAGTTGGTCAGCAGCAGGAAGCATGAAGTGCTCTAAAACTTCCTTGTAGACGGCTGCATTGACCTTGAACCTCAGAAAACACAGTGGACCAACACCAGCAGATGACATGGCACCCCAAACCATCACTGACTGTGGAGACTTTACACTGGACTTCAAGCAACGTGGATTCTGTGCCTCTCATCTCTTCCTCCAGACTCTGGGACCTTGATTTCCAAAGGAAATGCAAAATTTACTTTCATCAGAGAACATAACTTTGGACCACTCAGCAGCAATCCAGTCCTTTTTGTCTTAAGCCCAGACGAGACGCTTCTGACGCTGTGTATTGTTCAAGAGTGGCTTGACACAAGGAATGCGACAGCTGAAACCCATGAAGCACTGACTCCAGTTGCAGTCCACTCTTTGTGAATCTGCCCCACATTTTTGAATGGGTTTTGTTTCACAATCCTCTCCGGGGTGCAGTTATCCCTATTGCTTGTACACTTTTTTCTACCACATCTTTTCTTTCCCTTCGCCTCTCTATTAATGTGCTTGGACACAGAGCTCTGTGAACAGCTAGCCTCTTTAGCAATGACCTTTTGTGTCTTGCCCTCCTTGTGCAAGGTGTCAATGGTCGTCTTTTGGACAGCTGTCAAGTCAGCAGTCTTCCCCATGATTGTGTAGCCAACAGACCTAGACTGAGAGACCATTTAAAGGCCTTTGCAGGTGTTTTGAGTTAATTATCTGATTAGAGTGTGGCACCAGGTGTCTTCAATATTGAACCTTTTCACAATATTCTAATTTTCTGAGATACTGATTTTGGGATTCAGTCAGTTATCATCATCGAAATTAAAAGGAATGAACACTTGAAATTTATCACTCTGTGTGGAATGAATGTATACATTATACAAGTTTCACTTTTTGAATGGAATTACTGAAATAAATCAATTATTATATGACCAGCACCTGTAATGCTAGTCATATTTTCAAGATGTGTGACTGTGCCACCTACTGGACATGTTACTATAATGCATTGTTAATTCCCTCTCAAATTTATCTATTCTGATGGATCATTGACAATAAACATTAGTAAACATGATCACTTGCTATTGATGCCAAACTGATTTTCTGAGGCCTCATCATTTTGTTTCTCTGTACACTTAATATATTATTTAGTGGTAGTAGTAGTATACTCTTTATTTCTCCTTTTCCCGTTCCTCTCCTTGAATGTTCATTCAGAAACCTAGACTCTGTAAATGATTATGCATCCCTAGGCAGCAGGTCTCTGTACCAGCTGTATATGTTATAGTACTTCTGTTTATTCTCTTTTATTAAATAAATTCTACAAAGACAACAGTTTGTTGTAACTCAATTATTTGCTTAATCCCTCACCAACAATATACAATGTCCACGACGAAACCATAGCATTCAAACATTCTGTCGGTAGTTCAGTGATTCTAGATAAACAGCCTCTTCATTTAAAACAAATTTGATGTTATTCACTTTCAATAAAAGAAGCTCAGTAAAACTGTTCAATGAAGACACCTTCTACTGTATATCAAGCCTTACCGTTGGATTTCGCCCTTTGGAGGCGCTGGAAAAAAACCACAGGTAATCAGCCTTGTCCAGCTTATTACAAGTGTCAGGCAAGGTTTTTAATCAAAGATGGTATGTATCCTTGATTCTGCAATGCAGGGGAACAGAAAAGCAAGAATAAGACCATTCACAGCAAAACAGAATGACAATCAATGTCTTGAACATTCTGTTGTCAAAGGTTCAAGGCAGGTGCATTATCAAATCATTTAAACATCACTATGGATACACAACCTTCACCCTAAGACTAAAAAAAAAAAAGTTTACATACAGCTCTGTTTTCTTCCTCTTGTCCTAGGCTACCATCAAGTGCAGAGAGACATGCACAACAGTAGTTCAGCAGGTATATCAGGAAAGCACGGTTCCATGGGTAATGGGTTAAAAAAGGCAGAAACTTGTTGGAAACCCTGAGTTGATCCAACAGAAAGAAGCTCAAATTGCTTCTTTTCTGTTTAAGCTTTAGTATTTTTGTCAGTTTTCCTTGGCATATGAACGATTTTGCAATCTAAACATTATGATTTGGCTTCTTGTTATTTAATGTTGCAAACACAAACTCAAAGCGCGGACAGACAGTGTTCTTTGTACGTCCCAAATGGCTGGCAACTAACCTGGCATATATTTGCAGTTCAAATTTCAGTTGGAAAAAAGCTTCCATTATTTGTCATTTGTTATAATATGCACAAAATGTCTCATTGATCCCTCATTGTAAAAGCCCTTTCAGTTACTTGTGTAGTTTTAACATCAGTGGGTTTCACAACACCAAAAAGACACCGTGTCCTTTTTCCAGGAAACATTTATTCGATCAAGAGACAGGATCGCATCTTTCCATAAACAGGTCAGTTAAATATTAACAAATTTACAGTCATGAGGAATGTAATAAAAAACAAAAAACAAAACAATGCTCGCCTTATAAAACCCCAACCCAGGGACCCCACCCAGGATAACGTCGACCACGGTGGCGCTGGAACAAAACTCAAATCCATTTCCAGCTCTGTTACATGCTCTTCCGTTCAGTGCATCACAGTTCGTCTTTGTCCGTTTTTGTCTGCAAGGGAACAAATTTGAAAGTTATGAAGAAACCACTAGAAGAGTAAATACTCCAGCATCTAAATTTTTTACTTTACATCCTTAACGTGCTACAGCATGTTAAGTGTTCACTCACCATTTCTTCATCGTCTTCCTCATCTACAATTTCATCTTTATCTTCAGAGTCTTCCTCTTTATCCTCAGAGTCATCCTCTGCTGGCTCTTCTGGCTCCTCCTCTGGCTCTTCTTCGATCTGCAGAACAGTCACATCACTCAACATGACACACCCATAAACACAGGACCACCTGACAGAGGTAGGGATGCTTAAAATGTTTACAAGGAATGGCGCGTTATTTTCAATGATGATGTTTAAAATCAAGTCAGATAAGAATGTGTTCACTGGCATTGGAATTTGAGATGTGACTTGTGATACTGAAAACATGCAAATGTTTCCAAAGTAATACAGTATGTGGCAGCTGACATTAACTTGCCTGTTCGTCCAGAGCAACATTCATGCTGAGTCGGAGCATGCGCTCTATCCTGTCTCCATAAGCCTTTGTGTCAGCCAGCTGGTAGCCTGAGCGCAACGTAGCCGTCTCAAACAGAACCACAGCCAGGTCTGACGCAGTCTGGTCCTCGGCATTATCCTGAAGGAAATAAAATAAAAATAAAATGTTCAGCTAACTGCTCTGCTTTCGGTACAGCATTTTTTTAACATAAAGTGGAGCAATCAATTAATGCACATGAATTGGTTAGATCATCATATATAAAAATTATCACCATGTTTAGACAAGCAATATGTCCAGCCATTTCTAAAACATGTTGAATAACTATATTGCATGATGTAAATTACTTAACATTTATTACTTTTTGGTAAAAAAGAAAAGCAATAGGTTATTTTAAAATGTGCACAATAACCTACCTCTTATAAAAGCTGTAGGTTATTTTATTAAATTACATAATATGGCATCATTAAGATAGTACAGATCTAATGAAGTGACTTACTTTGACTCTGTTAAGCATCTGCTTGATGAGAGGATGCCTGGGGTTGATTTCTAATGTTTTCTTCTGGCTTGCATAGTAACTGAAGAACAGAGAAGAGGGGAATTGCCATATACCCTCAGTAAACAGGCAGGCCACAACATGTTCTTCATTTGCATTTTACAACCATGATAATGAGCATTAACGTCGCTGAAAAGCAGAGGATCATTACTCACTTTGTGGAAATGTCTTTGCCTGTTTGGTAAGCCTGTGCCTTCATGATCCTCTCCATGTTTCCTGACCAGCCGTACTGACTAGCAACCAAAGCGCAAGGTGACTTGGTTAGTCTCTGAGAGAGGACAGCCTTCTCAATCTGTGGGAAAGACAGCATTGTATTGAATAATGTGACTGACAGAATAGTCATAACTTATCAGCTGCAGCCAAATTTGATCGCCTCTGTGGCTAGTGTTGATTTCTCATGTCATGAACATTTCAAAATAACTGTCTCCCTACCTTGTCCGCCAGGGCCTTGTCCTTCAGCCAAGTGGTGAGAGGTTCATACTCCTTCTCCAGGGCCTCCCTCTTCTCCTTGGCCTTGTCACTTTCGTCAAATTTGACACCCTCCTTTGCCACGTTCTGGAAGCGCTTTCCATCAAACTCAGGCAGTGCCTGGATGCAGTACTCATCCACAGGCTCTGTCAGGTAGATCACCTCGTAACCCTTCTTCAACAGATTCTCAACGAAGGGAGAAGACTCAGCCTGCAGAGAGCAGATATAACAGGCCATTAATAATTTCCATTACCCGAAAAGCATTGTTTATTTAGTGCAAGTATAATTCCAGTGTATTTATGTGACAGTTTACGCTGCTTTTATCATATAGTAATTGAGCATTTTACCCAACACCACAAATACATGCACTGACCTCCTTCCTGCTGGTACCAGCCATGAAGTAGATCTTGTCCTGCTTCTCCTTCATGCGCTCCACATACTGCTCCAGGCTGGACAGGACTGTTTCGCTGTTGGAGGTCTGGAAGCGCAGCAGCTTGGCCAGACGGGTCCTGTTGGAGTGATCCTCAATGACACCCAGCTTGATGTTGGTTCCAAACTCCTTCCAGAACTTTTCGTTGTACTGTTCCTCTGCGATCTTCTTGATCATGTCTAAAGTCTTACGCACCAGCTTCTTGCGGATGACCTGAACAGGGAAAAGATGAGCATTACGCCTTTTGTCACTTTCCCTTTACATCAAGTTTAATTATTCCTAACCACTTTCCTTTGTTTTATAACTTATTTTGTTCTGTTTCTTCACTCAGTTTCCCTTTCTTCTTCCTGTAAAGCACTTT